TGTGAAATCGTCCAGGTGATTTCTTCTAGCCATATTTCACAAACTGGCTCACTGGCACTTGCAGCGAATATGTTGAATTGCGTCTCCATCCTTCCTTTTAAACTACTGTTGAGCTGCGCGCGCCGACATCACGCGTTTTGTGTACGCTTACGTCGCCTCTCACGTTTCGTTCCTGATATTTGCATATCCATGACGTTTCTACTGATTTACGTGTTCATTGTACTGATCTCCAGACCTCTTTTTCTGCAATGTCATGGCTATCTGCTAAATTTTTACATTGTTGTTTAAGTTTTGCACACCAGTTTAAATTCTTTTTACCAACAAATATTTTTATTTTTGTTCACTTACATATGCATCATTTTCCGTTCAGTTAAGCCGTACCTCTGTAGATGATTAATCCGCCGCAACAGTTGTAAGCTACCATGTACTAGCATAGTTATGTAAATATATTTGTAGGCTAAACATAACAAGAATTACTGTGTAATTTAAACTATTCCGAAACAAATTTGAAATCTAATCCATAATGATTATCTTGCCGAGCTTCTCAAGAATTATACTGTTAGAGCATATAAATATTGTAACAGTTTATCATAAATGTAACAGTTTATCATAATTATATGCAACAGTTTATCATAAAATAATTTAAAAATATCGTCGACTGGAAAGCAGATTGCTTAATCCCTTCCAGCTATGGAGATTGGATTGTTCAAAGAAGGTTACTGTTTAAATAGAGTGGTTTGATTAATCCTTGTTGTAATGCTGATGTTTGAATGGCATCACACTATATAAAGCATTTAATATTTCATTAAAGTAAATGAACTTCACAAAACAACTTATCCACTTCAAAGACAGCCTGGATAAAGCATTTAATTCTTACGCGCTTTAGACTGTGGTTGCGTAAATGTGGGTCACAACCTAGCAGTGCGCTTGTAGTCAATTTTAATGCATCATGAAAAGCACTGAAATTTTCTTTTTTATTTTTATATAACTGCATATATTTATATTTTATAATTATTAATTAAACATGTTAATTTATTATAATTATTTATTAATTTAGTATCTCAGTTTTCTTCCAGATCTCCTCTTTTTTCTTTTCAATAACTATACGCGTGTGAGTCGCGATAAATTGCTACTAGCCTATGGCCATAGAATACAATACTAAATGGTTTCGAAAGCACTGCTCTAAACATCATTTAAATGCAGTTTTATATTCTGACTCTTTAAATGATCGAATTTTTTCTAAGCTTTCGAACATAATCTTGCAGAACATTATTATTCATTATTAGTCTTATTTTCAAAATCAGATCTCTTTCCTCAGACAGTTAGTCATGTTATTCATATTTAGACAAATTGTTCCATGTTTCTGCTTTCTTATGGCAAATTTCTAGAACATTCGATAACAATTTTATATAAAAATGCGATATTATAGAATATTTTAATGCCTACCGTATATGACCAGAAATTAAAGATGTACGAAATTAATCCTTCATACTGACGGTGCTCATATGGCCTTTTCGTGTTCAAATAAAATACGTTTAAAATCTCCCATTAACGTGAATGAGCTTGTTATGCATTTCTGTAAAGAAGGCTTCAGTACTTATTCGTCTAGACATCCATTAACTGCAGTTTCACGTCGGCAAATATCTTCATGTCATCATTAAAAGTTATCATGTCTTTGAAGACTTGCTATAGTGTCTGCATTGTGACAAACTGACCGACTTTTTGAAAGTTGAAAACGAGACGTTTTTATAGACTCTCAGAGCATGATTTTATACAAACAAACAAAAAAATGTTTTTTCTTATTGAGTTGTTTAATGCGTGAGAATTTATAACCAGAAATTGATAGTATGTGAAATTAATCTTGCTAACATACGCTTAATGGCACTGAAATCAATTGTGTTTAAAATCCCGTTAACGTGAATGAATTTCTATGGATTTTTGGAAACATTTGTACGGAAGAAGTGCTTTGTCTATCTTTATGGCATATTTATTCAGACATTCGTACCATTGATTCTAAATTCATATACACAAGAATCTTCGATAGTAGTTATCGTTTCATTAAAAGAATTTCAAAAATTGTACGAATTTTTATGTAGAAACTCCCAGGGTTTGAACATAAAATCAAGTCTCTTTCTTCAGTTCGAGGTGGAGTTTGCACTATTTCAGCTTTCTATTTTAAGAGGTAGCCTTAAATACCATTTTTATGGCTGTGGTAGAAAAAGAAACGAAAATAACAAATCTTCAGCATTATGCTAGCCGGTGTTAAATCACAATGTTCGTATTCATGATTTGAAAATTGATAAACTTCCTCATCATTTAGAGTCCACTTAAGACATCATTTTCATGATGGTTCCTAATAAAGACTAAAGAACATATCTTTATCTAAATGTATATTAGTCTCAAGGAATTTAATGTGCCTGGTTGACATGTGGACATTTTAAGCAGAATAGTTTAATAACAACTAATTGTTTTTGATAAAATATCCTGTGTTTCTTCGCGGTAGTTTTCTAAAAACTTTTGGAAACGTTTAAAATATTTTGTTATTAAGCTACTTAGTGTCTTTGCGGACAATTTTGGTATTAGTAGTCCTTAATCCGTAAAAGAATACGTTTATAACTTTCATAATTAACTGTGCATTTAAAAACTGGTGATAGTCTGCATTGTCATTGTTCCTACAATCTACCAACGTAAAGAAAATTGCAGTTTCGTATCGTCCCCTGTTGCTAAGGAGAACGATGCTGCCGCGGCTCAGGGTATTTAATTAGCGACAATCTCTCGGCTAATTACCTTAAGCGGGAGCGAAAGGCAGCATGGTCGTCTCGACACTATTAAAAGCGGCCGTCAAGTCGATTGGAAAATAAATAGCACCCTTTCTCTGCATCCCGGTTAACTTTCCTTCCGATTTCGAATGTGTTCTTCGTTCAACCTTCATTCTTCGATGCCTCCCAAACTTTGCCTATGGTGGCGAAGCATCAGTATAACTAGCATTCTTATGTCTCCATAGAAACATTCCCAATGTGTGGGATTAAGGAGACGTATTAAGCTGAAATAGATGTACTCCCAGAAACAGATATGAAATTTGAGCTATTCTGGATATTTCTGAGGGAATGATTCCTCATCTAATAATGCAGAACACTTTTATATCATTGCATTTTTATTTCCTGATTCATTAGTGTTACAGAAACTTTTATATCTTTATATCCATAATGTAAAACATTATAAAGCATTGTGTCTAAACCTTGTTGTCTTGCACTGCGCTTCCTAAAATTAAAAAACTGATAGTTGTGACTTAGTAAATGATCTTACCTATGTCTCTTTAAATTCTAGAGAATGACACCTCTTAGCAATAATGCAAATCTTATTTATGTAATCACGCTTCTTTTTCTGGCCAATAAGAAGTTTTTATATTTTAATTTCGTTGTGTTCATAATGGTAGAGATTGTTAAACATCTTTTCTGAATACCGTTACGAACTGACCCTAGCTTAAAAATTGCTATGCTATCTTAAAAATTTAGAAACGGATGTTGTTTGTAATGTCATTATCTAAGCTTTGTAATACGAAACGCGGCTACGTTATCGCGTTTTTTCCCCTTCTATCGGATCAGTACTATTTAAAAAAAATTAGATTTCTTTATAATTTGGATATATACGTGCATAATGATTTAGGTATACTAATTCCATATTCAAAATATTTTGTCTAAATATTGTTTTCATATATGTAGTGTATTGTGCTCGATTGAAAAGCTCACAAACCATTAACTGTTGTTACAAATTACTATTAACACTTTTTATAATGCTAAAATTTTTACAGTCATTATAAAAATTTTAGCATTATAGAAAGTTTATAGTTTTTCTCTGCTTAATAATGTGCTTTAATATAACATGACTCTCTTTATCCTTATAAGGTACTTTAATTTCTTAATTAAATTAAAACTGGTAAAAAAAACATGACTTTTAAAATGTATGATGCATTATTCTAAAAACGAAAGTCTGAAGATTGAGTACCATTACTTCCAAAATTGTAGATTTTTAGCAAATATCCACAATATCAGTGTTGAAATAATAACACTGCATCCGATAGCTTGGCTATGATACTGATTTTTGATAAAATTAGCTTTTCACGAAGTTTCGAATTGGACTCAATAATCTGAATTATGGCAAAGTATTCGATTACTGATGAGTCGAAAAGAGACCGGCATTACTGTTCATCAATCAATATCGTTTACTAAAATGTAACGTAAATAGTAGTAGTTTCTCTTTAGATATCTTACATAATAATCTACCAGCTTCATGAATTAAGCAATGAATTTTTGAAGGCTCTCAAAAATTAAAACAAGTCATCTTTGTGCGTGGAACTCCCAATGTTTAGATCTCGTTGAAGCACTACATCACAGAATAAGATATCAATTCCTTTTATGGTCCTTAAAGCCTTATCTGCCAGAAAAATATGGGCAGCTCATGTTTCTTAGGGGATGGAAACTCAGTCCGTTAAACGAGAACATTGCTATAACTACTGAAGTAGTTCCTAAAATCCCATTCCAATAGCTGAACGATTGAAAAAAAGAAAGATCTATATTTTGTTTTCTTAATTTATTGAAGAAATATGTTGTACATGACAGGTCTACACGAAACAGGCTGCAGTCATGAATATCTTAGTGTGATAAAGACCTATTAGTTAGCATAACGTCTTTCCGAGATGTCGATGTTTTGGAAGTGATAGTCTGACGTATCTCATCTTATTTACTAACATTAATTTCAGATAAGCAAGTTGACTTCACAAAGACTGAATAATCTGTTTGGATCTTGCTGAAATTCTCGAATTTTCAGACATTTATCATACACAGAACTGTCTTCACTTAGTGATAATGAAATTTATAAAACTATTCACTGCCATCATTTGAAAAATTTCTATCAATGAATGTAAGCAATGTTTTGCATAATTTCTTCTTCTGTTTATATTACTTATGTGCTAAAGTTGTTTCATCCTTCATTTTTTGCAGCAACAGATGCATGCCCAACAGTTACCTCCTCACGCACATGCGCCACCGCTGCCTATGATGCCACATGCGGCTGCGATTGCTGGCCTGCAACCTCCAACACTACCCGCCAGCAGCGCAGCAGGTCTTCTGGCTCTCTCAAGTTCCCTAGCGGGGCCCGCGGCCCACCTATCTGCGGCTGCCGCCGCTTCCACAGCCTCTTCCTCATCCTCTTCCTCTATTAAGGACCACAGGGAAGAGAAGCGGAACTCCAACTGTAAGTTGCTCTTCCTCATTTGTGTAGCATTCATCACTGACGCATTTTTCTCATCATAAAAGGTTTTATTTTACATCAGTAATGTTACTGTGGATCATTTTTAACAGGCATTGGTAATTTTATCTAATACATTAAATTTAAAATAGTATTTTTAAAATCTATTGCTCGAAGAACGTTTGAAGCAGTATTCCATAATAGTATACCACATAAATTGTTTAAATGCATAGTATAAATTTGACTTATGTCTCACTAATTAAGTGCTTTATTTGTAAATGGAAAAGATGTGCTGCAATACCAATAGAGAAATTCAACTTTTGGTTGGATTAATTTCAAGAAAAAGGCATGTTATCACTTAATTGGGGGAGAGAATTATCCTATTAGTTGAGACTGATAAGAGAAATTTTTTACTTCTAACATTCTTGTTTTAAGCCTCAGTTGGGTTTGCAAAATAAACTAAAGTTAAGAAACGCTGCAGCTTGAAATCAGATGTTAAAACCAAAAAGGAACTAAAATAACTTTATTTAAATAACTTTTGAAGCGATTAACTCCTGGCAAACAGTAATAACAATAAAAAAAGAACACCTTTCAGTACTTAAAATTAAAAATATCTGTATTTTAATCATTCCTTTTATTACATCACGTCATGGGATGTTACACTAAGTTATCATATTGCAGTTCAGATTTTTAATTTTTATTTCATATAACTAAAATTCACTGCTTTAAAAACAATACGCTGCTATAAATCTATTTAAAATATATACGTGCTAATCATTTCAGAAGTGATATGCGTATTTCTTAATATCACTAGTATTTATAACTTAATATAAATAATAAAGGATGTTTTTAATATCAGATATCATGTATCTCCTCTGCAAAATTTCAAGGTTTCTAAACGATATATTCATAGACGTGGAAAAATAACAAAACCTCTTCTGTTACTAAACAACATGCAACGGTTTTCGACAGAATGGTCTGTGCGACAACATTGCCGTCGGTAAATTAAAAGTAATCTTTTCTTAACAGTCTTAACACTGTATGGTAGTGTTCTTATTTACAAACCAAGTATTGTCCATAAAAATATATTATTGTGTTTTCTTCCTTAGTTTAATAAAATAGCTAGCCCTAAAATAGCACTAAAAGGATATATTTCTTTATGTTTAGAAAACACTCACTGCAATCGGAAATGACTTGATGACAAAAGTATGGTTCCTTGCTGAAAGTATCATGTTCATGCACATATTATTCCACAGATATTTGGCACGTGAATAAGATCCGCAATATATACCTTACGTTATTAAATATTAATGTGAAAATTGGTTTTCTAATTATTTTATCACAAAACCGAATGTAAAGGTCAGTTCACATCGACTCTTAAGATCGAGTTTATTCAGTAAACCAGATTTTGAAAACATTAGAAAATAAGTAACATTTTCCCCTCGTTTATATTTATCACCATTTACGGGGGGTGTTTACACATTTTTAGAACGATTTCAATAAAGAATTTTGAAAAAAATAAATGTTTTGAAGTAAAACTTTCTAGCAACAGCTAATTATTTGAATTGAGAAATATCGTTTGCTACTTTTAAAATTATTCTTTTTTCAAAATATCGCATGTAAACAAGCTACAGATTGAAGGATATGCATTTACGCTTGTAGAGACATTAGGTATTTTAGAAGCAAGAGAGATGAAAAACGAGCAATCGCCTTCGCCGGAAATCGAACCACGGACCTCTGGATACCGGCCCAGCGTGCAAAACCACTACACCATGAAGGCACGCTAGGAAGGCGGGAGAAATACCTTACATACTCCCCCTTTTAAAGGGCGAATGGGGTTCATAGGAAACCCAATCGCCAAATCCTTGGTGAGGAGAATCATCATCCAACACCCTTTTAGTTCGGCCGCCACTGTAGAGACATTAGGTATTTTTTGGAAGCAAAGGAAATGAAAAATGATCGAACCGCGGAGCTCCGGAATACCGGTCCAACGTGCAGAACCACTACACCACGAAGGCACGCTAAGAAGGCGGGAGAAATATCTTATACGCTTTACGAAGAGAAGTATTCCTATTCTATAATTCAAAAACGTCGTGAAATGCATGGTATTAAAATTTCTAAGTGCAAAGCAAGCAACATTTATTAATAGGAAAGGAAAAATCGTCAATAATTACTTCTCTATGGAAAGAAGACTATATGAATGCCTAAAAAGGTACGCTTTGTTTCTAATGTTACCAAAATTGAGTCACTTGTAAAAAGAGAAAATCCGCCGACGCAGAAATCAATTGCAAAGTTTTTAAATAAATCTTTAGCAACAATAAATAAAGTAATTAACAAAGATTTACAATTTAAAAAGCTAAAAAACATAATGTTCGTCGTCTTTTGCTGAGGCATGTGGTTCAACGCAGAAGAGTTTTTAGAATCCTGTATGAAAAGCATTTCGCGTGAGGAAATGCACTGTGAGCTTTGATGAAGCTTGGATTTACCTAAATGGCTCCAACAAATAAAAAAGAAAAGGGTACAAACCTGGTTTCATCAGTGCAAAGGGGTTTATGATTGTCGCGAGATTCTCTGGCAATGGGAAGTTAAAAATAAGTTGAATGAAAAAAAAATGTTAAATTAAAAGAAAGTTTGCCGTCCGATATTTACCAGAAGATATTCCATTTCTTTATTCCAGTCACTTACAAAGAATGAAACTTCATCAAGACAAAGCAACAAGCCATACTTCGAAAAGTAACACTGCATTCATTTGAAAAGGAAGACTGATACAGGTATATATTGCATATATATAACTTTTCAACGTATTCCTGCAAAGTCTCTTGACGTTTCACTTTTGCACTCTTGTGCCTCTGGTCCCTTTATGAAAGATCTTTCTGAGCGCAAAACGGTTACGATTTCTGGAGTCTGGAAAGTAGTGGAAGAAGACTGAAAATCAATACCCCTGGAATTATAACGAAAATCCATTATATCACATAAATCACAATATAGACTTATAATCCAGAAAAGAAGGCTGTCAGATCGAACATATATATAAAAAAAAAAATACTTTTTACATTTTAATACTTTTTACATTTCGGGCTGTTTAAGATGTAAAAAGTATTAAAAAAAAATACTTTTTACATCTTAAACAGCCCGAAATCTTTCTAAATTGTGTAACTACCTTCTTTATTTTGGAATATATCTTGGTGCTATGTTTTAACCACATGACGTACAGATATTTTCTTATTTTGCTCTGTTCATCTAAATTCTGCGATTAAACTAAATAACAATACTAGGATCTAAACTTAAAATAACTCATTTTATCACAACTGTTTTCATTTCTAACCTATTTTTCCTACCCTACTAGTTATAATATTTTATCTATATTTCGAAAAATAAAATTCAAAACAGTCAACTTAAAAGATTTTCTTATACTGTTGTTTCTATTGTTTTCTTTTAGTTTTCAACGACTATAGCTTCTTTCAAGCGATTTTCCTCTCAATTTGAAAAACGAATGCGAAGAAATTATCACTGACAAAAATAAACAAACTCCACATTTGGAAAATCTTATTCTTTTGAAAAGAGTATTAAATAATCTAGTTTAAAAAAAATAATAATAAATAAAATGCTCTCAAATAAGCTTTGTTTCCAAAAGACTTAACATGTTGGGTTGCCTCTATAAGGCTCTATTTTCAAGCAATTGGCTCAATTTTCTTACCTTCCTCCTGAACTTCATTTTTTATTCTTTATTTGTTTGAAGAAAAGATTTTGTTTACGATAACCTTTTAGCGTATTTTTTATAGCTAATTGGTTCGGGTTACCAGGATTTCTTTTCTTTCGTATTTTACTTTTTCGCAAACGTTGGATAAAAGGGGCATTTTGGAAGAGAAACATTTCTTATCTGAGCCTTTAATAGCTGGAATTTTATGAACTTTAAACTGCAAGTATTGAGTTTTTAAAATCATTTATTGCTTCGATTCTTTATTCCAGACAACCTGTTGCTGATCTAGAAATACTCTTTACATTATAGCTGCATAAATCTGTTCATGCAGGTCGCTTATGATGAGGCTTCTTATATTTTTTATTAATTATTTTATTGGCTTATTAGTTTGCATCATTTATTCACTTAATTATTGCTGCCTAGTTATTACAGTAATTAGCGGAGGCAGATCCTACATCATGGGGCATAAAAGGGGTGTGAGATTCCTGTTTCTCGTGAATTTTCTTGATACAATTAGGACTGAGCTGGACAGAGTCGTACTATCATCATCAGTGCTCTATATCTAGGAGTACGATAAACGAAAAATATACCTAATATATTTATACATGAGACCTAACAATGCCAGTTCTGAAAAAATTAAACACACTACTTTCTTTTTTTCTTTTTATGGAACTTATAAAGTCTGGTATGTTTCGTAATCGCCTAATAGTGAGTGTCCAAACTCTTGGTATATTTTAAGCGAATTATCGCTAAGTCTAAAATAATAACTGAAAATTGAGAAAAAGTGTAAAACTCAGAAGTAAACTTTTTATTCAAAACTCAGAAAAACAAAAGACACACCTGGTGCTTACAAGCTCAGCCAGCACTTATGGTGAGATAACTTAGAATAACACTAAGTTCAAATGCAAAGTTATATTTGAGTAAGATAGTAACCAAAGGCTACACAGATCTATTTAACGCGAAGTTGGCTCGCTTATCTAACCGGCGTGCTGATTCAGTATCGGCAATTTTAATGAAAGGCCGAAAACTATAAATCTTATCTTATCTAGCAACCTAGTAGCTTTTCCTCGAGAGGTAGAACAAGCTCTGTCTTACAATTTAAACACCTCATTATAAATATTCGCGAACTAATTTCTTCTCTGGTGGGAAAACGGAACGGAGAAATAAAAGTAAAGATACAAAACATAAAATAATTGGTTAATTAACATAAAGAAACTTTACGGACATTGTATTAACATCATTTGAATAAAGTAAATTTTGTTTTATAAATTGAACTTTAAATTATTTTCTAACTTTAAAGATTAAT